AAATTGAACAAAGCATTTTGAGGCATAAGTAATATTATGAGAATTCTGTATGACCTGTAAATATTTCCAAATTAATTAAATTGCCAAAAATTATGCTTAAAAAATTCAAATATTTACAACGAAAAAACATTTTTTTTTGTCTAATAAATTTAGTTTACCAAAATCGTCATGCGCCTAACAAAAACACTGCCGAACCTTGCTATGTGCTCAAATAAATTTATATGTAAATATGTATGTTTGTAGCTTGTTTGCGTCCTCGTAGCTACTGCTTTCTTTGACTCTTAATTATTATTATATAGTTTTCGTTTTTTCCTGATTTTTGTTTTGTTTTTTCTTTAGGTAAACATGCAGACGATTACTTGGTCAATATTTATGCTGTATGTATGTATTTGGCTATGTATGCCAATACTTTGTTGGCTTACATTTATGAATTGTTAACACTGAACTTTAATTGCTAGGCTAGGTCTTTCTTTATTTGTTTAAATGGAATTTTTATTGCATTCATATTTTAGGCGCCCACTACACATACAAGTAAAATCACCATTATACTGCATTTACGTGTGTAATACTTGTTTGCAGTCGCCAAATTTTCTGTTTTCATGTTGCTTTTCAAACAATTTCTGTTACTCTGTTTATATTATTATTATTCATATTTTGCATTTTATTCGCTGCTTGCCATTAAAAATATTTCCATTTTTAATTAATTTCCGCTTTGCCGTGATAAACTTTAATATTTTTTTATTAAACACGTGTGTGTGTGTGTTTATCAGATTTTTCTCGTTATTTTGTGTTTTTATTTGGATACAAATGCTTTGGTGATGAATATCTTATTGGGCTCTTGTGCTTTGCATTGTACACACAATCAAATGTTTGTGTATATGTTTCTTGATTGCGTTCACTTATCGTTATCAAATGTGTAATTGTTTCTTTTGTGACGAGTTGTAGTATATATGTTTTTAAGCTTGCTTCGAAGTCTCAGTCACTTTATAATTATAGAACAGACAGGAGTATAAATATTTGTTGCTTTTGTTGAAGACCGAAGCATTTGCGAAACCACATCAATTGATTTTTTTATTGTTATTTGCATATATTTTTTGTTTGGGAATACATACATGTGATATAAATATATACAACTTGTGATTTAACACGTAACCTTACCCATTATTGCCATATACTTTCCACTTCCTCAACTGCCAGTTTAATATTTTACTAATATTTCTGCTATCTTTTTTTTTAATTTTTTATTCAATTTCAAACTTTCGCATTTTTACTCTTCTTTATTATTTAAATTTTCGTAATACGTATCTTGCGTAACTCATCTGCCTTCGTACTAAGTTCGTGAAACTTACAACATTAACAACAATTTTTTTTTAAATTTTCTTACACTATTTTCATTCACCGCGTTTTTCTACATATTTTTCCATTTAATTCTTAAAAAACTTAAAGGCATTTGGTGAATATTAATCCTTATAATTTATAAAAATCAAAATTACCACAAGATTTTTATATATTTTGTGATTTGTTTTTAAATATTTACTAAATTTTTTAACTCGAAAATTTTTCTTATTAATTAAAATAAAATATTTTTCATAAAATAATTTTTGAAATTTGTAAAATTAGTTTTTATTTGTTCATGATTTTTCATTAACTAATATGCGGAATGTCTACGCCAATAAAGAAGACAAATATTCGAAACGTGACAGTAGCATAAATCAGTTTAAGCACGCTTCCCTTTTTTTATATAAAATGACTTATTATATTTTATATGCATTTAGGCGCAATTATATTTTAAAATTTTTAGTAACTAACTAATGTTAAATAAAATATATTGTCATGCTCAAAAAATTAAAAAACAATTTAGCCCACGTTCAAACATAGTCGTAATGGTGCAATCAAGAAATATTTTGACATACAATAGAACAATTAGCTAATTGCACAATTAGTACTCGGTTGAGCCCAAATTGAAACAATAAAAAAGAATTATTCTATACAACTCTGTAAAGTGTATTAAAAAAAATTAAAAACCGATTTTAACTAAAAAAGAACCAAAATAAAAAATGCTTTATATTTTGTAAAACAATTTAAATTTCATTAAAATCGAACGTATTACCAATAATTTCACAATCAAAAGCAAAACATTTTTCAGACAAATCTCAAGTACGAAGGAAACCACAATTGCAATTGTTAATTGACCTGTTTGAACGTAGTAAAGTATTTCTTTACAGCACACTCATCTCTGAAGCCAAAACAGTAGGTAAATGTTATGTTGAATGCTAGTGCTATTGCAAATTTGAAAAAGTTCCCGTTGAACTGTGAGCCTGCCCGAACTCTGGACTTCGTTAAAATGTGAGTATTGTAGCATGAACTCGCAGGTTTTCTTTATTTCAATGTACGGGGTCTCTTACTAGTCAAACTGTTCCTTTATACTTTCAATTATAAAAGAATACCAGTTTGCCTATGAATTTTGGTGAATTTACATTCGCATAAGAAAATAACTCCACCTTAGGCAATTAAAAACTCACTATAGCTTCTTGAATACTGATCATTAGGTCAAAAGAATCACCACAGTCTTATGAAAATATTCAAGTATTTTCTAATAAGTCTTCAGAATAAAAAAACTCGATCAATACATTATCCATTTGAAAATTAGAGAGCAGATTTAGCATCTCAGGATAAAAAGCTCCAAAATAGCGAAAATAAAATACAGTAACGTAACTGCCTGAAAGTGATCGCTAAAAGCTATTGTCAGCATTCTCCATATGAATTGTATAACAAGCAGTGCTTATCAGTCATTATTATTAGTATTTTAGAAACTATGTAGTACAGAGACTCTCTAGACGTACAATCGATTACATCTCCTGCCTTTGGTTTTTGAAAAAACATGCCTGTTTAGTATGTTTTCTTGAGTATATGGACCAACCCACTGAATGGCTATATTGCCACATTTCTCTGAAATAGTTAAATTTAAACAGTGAAAGTTCTCTTATTGAATGAGTTTACACTTTGAGGTCACATCGACACAAACTCGTAAAACTTGAGTACCATTAGTCTTCTTTTATATTTCTATATTAACAATTTGACCTTTTAAAACGTCAATAGGTGACCGTATATTTTAAAATGAGGAAAAATTGTGTTGTCTTTGTGTATTTGAGCTTCAGAGAAAATTTCCGAAAGTTTTCCTCTCGGCGCGTGCTAAATAATATTGTTTTCTTTCGAATTCAAATAAAAGATAAATAAAAATTAAGTAAAATAAACTGTAAGCATAATTATAAGAATTTCACTTTAATAAATAAAGGACATACTATTCTAATGAAATATTTAAGTTTTACAAACATTTCACAGAAGCAAAAGCCGCATTAAATGAACTTTCTGTTATTTTTTTTTTTTTTTTTTTTTTTTGTATTTTGTAACATTTTCATATATATTTATTTATACGCTTATGCCTATTTACACAGATAATAATATTGAATGAATATTTACAGTGTGCATATTTGGTGACTCTACACATAAAACTATATTAAACTCAAGGCATTTATCTGGCTATGCTCCTCAACGCTCTGCAACTACTTTGCCAAACAATTTGAACGCACAGGACAAAACGCCGGTGAACAACACATTGACCATTGAACTTAACCTTAAAATTATATTGCACCTTTTTTTTTGTAATAATTTCAATTTTTATTCGATCAAACTCTGCCAACTCAGCCGCACTCCACTTGAGTTTTCAAGAGTTTTCAAGCTCCACATTCACCACACACTATGACGCAATATGTTGACGATTGCTATAAGCATTGGTAGAGTACCGGCACACCACCAACTCCATGCCGAAATGCTTGAACTGCCATTACAGCCGTCTGTACCGCAAATGGAACAGTGCAGCTCCGAATCTTCCAGATTGTCTACACCGCCATTATTATTGCCGCCTTTGCCCTTACGCTTCTTGTTTTTTTTATTCTTGTCATCCGCGTCGAGGTTAGCGTTACGCGCCAACTCTGGTGGCCAACCCAATTTGTTACCCAATATTTGACAGGCATCCGAATCGGCAGTATCCAACTGACAGAAGCGTGCTGTCACCATTTTGCCGGTATTTGCTGTAATATATTCACAAGTTTGTAGATTAGCCTTTGTTATAGAAAAGTGTAAACAAAAATGTTTGCATTTGCAGATGCAGTTTGAAACAAAAGTATGCAACGGCGCACTTACGATCTCTAGCCACCACTTTTTGGCAGTTCATTAGCGGTCCATTGCTAGCGCCGGTATCGAAGTACGCAAAACGATTTAAGTCGAAAAGCCAAGTATTGGTTGTTCGCATTTTGTCTAAAGTACATTCCTGTTAAATAAAATATAATAGTTGTTTATAAAATATTTGGATAGAATTAGTCCAATATAAAAGCAAAGAAATGCTTTGTAAGTTTTGATTGACTGTTGAGAATTTCAGAAGCTATAGGTTAGAGATAAAAAGATGTGGTTGCTATAAAGCGCTGATGAAGCTCAATATCTTTGTGTCCACAGCAAGATTTATTCACAGAAATCCAAATTACACTGTCTAGTTAAACAATTTTGTTAATTAGATGAGTAAGTTGCTATCAAAAGTTTATGTTACTATAGATAATAGTCAAATTTTACTGGAATCACTATATATTCGTTACCGATCAGAATTCTATTAAGCCTTTTCTTGCCTCCTCCCCATGACGAATTTACAKATTTCTAATTTCTGGGATGTTGTGTTTTATTTCTCAAGTTATTCCCATATTTACCTTCTGGTTCAATTTACATAAGTACATGTTCCATGGACATGCGCTTCAACTCGAATGCTTAGTTTTGAGACGTAAAATCGAGTTGACGAATATATTGTAATTGTAAAATTTTTATGAAAAAAATTGTGTTCTCCATTTCTTCAAAGTGGAAAGCTAAAACAAGAAAAGAAGCGTGTGTAGCATTTAGTTGGACAGTATATTGATTAATATTGAGCTATGCGACTTTTGGTCTATTGTACTCTTAGTTGAAGAAAAAGCTCCATTATAGAATAGTATTTTAAAATTTTGTATAAAATAGGTCATTGAGTACAAAATTCTCAAAACTTTTCATCATTTTCTATAAACTGCTCGATTTTCACAAGCAAGAAGTAAATTGACCAAACTCGTCGCCATAGACGGGAGCAGGTAGTAATCACTTGCTAGATCATCACTACAAGCATAACGTGGCACCATATAAATCTATCAACCAAGCTGCAAGAGTTTCTAAGGAGTCACTTTCGCTGTGTGCAGTGCAACGTTGTCCCAATGGAATATATTTCCTTTCCTGTTGACCAAAGCTGACAGCTTTCTTCACTGTGTTGACAGTACAGGTTCAAATTAAGATTTTGACCAAACGGAAGTAACTCATAACATCTCATTTTTTACCAATCTCACCAAAAATAAGCAAAACCTTCCTTCATGATGGTTTTCTTTTTTTTCATTAACTCGTGTGGGACCCGTAAATTAAACATCTTTTTGTACCCACCCTGTTTTAAATGGTTCTAAACGGTTTCAAGGCAATGTTTAGCTTTTGAGCAATCGAAATCGAAATCGGATTGGATTCATTACTTTTGATACCAATATTTTGGCGCCAAATTATAGTACATCTTTCACATTAAAATTACTGAAATGATATTCACAAAACCATAATGCGCGTGATTAGAAGTTACAGTAAGTAACAAGACCATAAGACCATTGACGTTTTCAGCCGCCTGACTTGTTTGCCTTTATCGAAGAAACGCTGTGAAATATGGCGTACTTTCGCTTTGCTGGTATCTAGCTTTGACCGGTGCTCAAACAATACTGAGAGAACCAAACCTAAAACAGTCTGAGAAAAATTTTAGTACGACATCTTGTCTTTTCTAACGCCATTTACTTAGACTTTTATAATATAGCATTTGTATAAGTGAAAATTGTCAAATTTGAAATGAAAACTCCGAGTATAAACAGAATGAAGTTCCGTTCCTTAAAATAGTAATCCTTTGGAACTTTGCAGCGAAATTCTTTTTTGTTCATGCTAAAGATCGTTGACCTAACACAAAGTTTTCACAGATTTTCCTACAGATTATGGCAGACTCATGCACATTTTTTGTAACATTCTACAACAACGAAATTTATAATCTTTCTACACAAAACATTTGTGACACATTTCAAAAACACACAAATCCTCGACTCCAACACTCAACTAAAGCTAGTACTTCCATTTCTTTATTGACTCCACACCACTTTCGCCAGTGAAATTGCGTTAGTTTCTCAAAGATTATATATTTTTAAGCTCCAGTTTCGTATAAATGCCATTGGCAACGCGCCAGCGCCAAATCGCTAGTGACCCTCAGTTGTGGAAGAAAGAGGTCGTTAGTCATGCACGCCGTCACAGCGACCTCCCCTGTACCAGCCTTCCAGCACTTGGCCAACATATCCCACAGACAAGCACAATACAATTTGTTTGGATTACTAATTGAGAATTGAACAATTGTGGCTGCCAGCGAGAGTAAACAAATTGATAAATGCAGCGACAAGCGCACATGAAGATGTCTTACCGGCTTCTAGGCGCAGTCACATGTGTATCATTACATGCCAAATGCAAGTAAAGAAAGCAAAGAATTTGCAGAGGAAATGCTGTAGAAATACTAAGATCAACAACGGATGAATGCAAACATCAGAGACGTCATATATATTATGGCATATCCATATGGCGTTAAAAATATAGTTTTTTGTACTATGAAATATTTTCAGATAATGGGTTTTGTAATTGCATAACTCAGTATTGTTTAAGCACGCATCAAAAATGGACAACAGCAAAGCGAAAGTACCAAATTTGACAGTTTTTTTTTTCAATAAAGACAAAAAGGCAAATTCAAGCGGCTGAAAATGTGAATGGTGTTTATTTTGAACCATGCAATCACACATAATTTTCATCAATACCGTTCCGGAAATTTGGATGTCAAAGATGTAACATGCTTTATCGAAAATATTGATACAGTAATGGAAATCGTCGAATTCAACCGCCATGTAAAGACTCTTGAACATAACTTATTTCTATGAATCGCGGTTGAAATCAATGGACCAGAAAATTTTACACAATAAGCAAAGAATTGTGCTTCATTATCCTGCCTTACAGTTCGAACCTAGCACCGAGTGATTACTACTTGTTCTAAGGCGTATTATTTGTTCTGCTGATAAATTTTCATCATGAAAGATGCTTGTGAAAAGCAATTGGTCCCGTTTTTGTCAATAGGATTGAGAGTATGAAACTATTTTCAGAAGGATAACAAGTTGCTGAACAAACCGATGCGCATTTGATCCAAGTCGGATCATTCTAGCTTGCTAATCTTATGCAAACTTTTATTGTTAGACCTATATATTACGAAACCAGCTTTGCTATTGTTTGTTATTTAAAATGAATTATTTTGAACGTGCCTTGTTGGTAATCAATTATTCAGTTCAATCATTTTGGAAGTGAAATTTTTAGATTTTGTTTAATAATTTCTCAACTTATAAGGTTAGTATTAAAGCCTCCGCCAATTAGTCAATTTTAAGCTACTAGGACTTTCTCACAAACATAGTGACCTCTTTTAAAGTGTAGTCAAGAGAACGAAGTACCTAAGAGTCTCCCATCTGTACACTTTAGTTCAGATTTTCTAACCGAATACCGTTTATCATTTTTGCTATATTTCATAAAAACAAGTCGTAAAATTATGATCATACATGTCTAAGCAGCCATCGCAGACTAATATAAGCACAGGATCCTATAGAATATGGATTGGAGACACTATTTAAGCTCTTGATTGGAATTTTGGAAATATTGCAGGAACCTCAAAAGGGTTTTTGAAGTTTTAGAGGGCTTCATTAAAAAAAAATATTGGTAATGTATCTAGAGTGCTCAACAAAATATTTCTTTCAAAATTTGCAACGTGATAACATTTCTCACAAGCTGCACTTCTGGAACTGTAACATATTTACATATGGCTTTTTATCTTCTTCCTATTTACTCGGGTGTTTTTTATCTTGTCATCTTTAAATTTCAGATTGGCATATTAGCAAAGTAAGATATTTTATTCTTATATTATAATTATGACACTTACCTCTGCCGCCATGCTTTGATTTGATTTTAAATTCTCACAACTTGGATTATCGCTGGAGTCACAGACAAAACATTTAATTGCCGCAACTGTTGATCGATGAAATATTCATATGCCAAATTTTCGAAAACAAATAGAAAGTGGTATTAGAGAATGAAGATAAAAGCCGTCAAATTTATAATTTAATTTTAATAATAATTTTTTGTTTACTCGAAAAAATTTTTAACTACTATGAGAAAAAAATAGTAAGCCTTTTTTCATAATTTTAAAGTTCTTAATTTATTCTTCTAAATCTATGTCGTGGACAATACACTTGTGCCAATGTTTTTTCCAATCCTCGAAACAGTCATTAAAGTGAATTTCCGAACTCTTTGCGATCCACATTTAACGTCTTCATTTGACTCAAAACTGTTTCCCTGGAGCGGTCGTTTGAGTTTGCTGAATAGCCAGAACTCACGTGAAGTTAAACAAGGCGAATAATTATATCCCGTTAGTCGGAAAGTATTGTTTCTCAGACGTTAACGTGATGCTGTTTTTCGAAAAATATTAGTGCTTTTGGAACCAATTCAAGCTTATACTTTTCTTAGACCGAAATGATATTTCAAAATTGTTTTCATTGATCTTTCCGATATTCCAACGATGCCTGTAAGATCTTTGACTGTTTATCATAGATGCTTAAGCAGCAATTCCTTTATTTTATTGACGTGTTATTCAGTTGATGCAGATGCCTGTCCTTGAAGTGGTTCCTCGTCAACGCATTCTCGACTCTCTTCGAAATATTTCTACCAATTAAAAACACTTACTCGCGACAAACAATCATCACTGAAAGCCTTTTCCAACATTCTGAATGTTTTAATACTAGAATTTTCATTCCGCACACAAAATTTAATGGAACTTCTTTGTTGAACATTTTTACTCCTCGTAAAAATTGCCGAATGCATTTAATGTACTTTAGAAAGACAAGCGTATACTCAGCGCTAATTATTATTTTGTTGTGACATTTGGCACAGTTGTCACTGTCAGTCATATCAACCTAGAAAAAAACATTTCCGCGAATAGGTTTTTACACGAGTCACGAGTTAAAAAGTCTTACTATTTTTTGCCCACAATAGTACATGTGATATTTTTACAAATAAGAGTTGTCAAACATTTTATTTTTATTTTATTTTATTTTTTTTAGTTATATATTTGACTATTCTCTAAATTCCCGATCATTTGACAGTTTACTTTGTTATAAATTTATTTATTATTTTAAAAAATTATGACAAGACAGAGATATTTCATTATCAGGATTACGAAAAAATATTGTATTTTGCAAAATTGTGACGAAACATCGGCATTTCAATACAAGGATTGCGATATGTTCCGCAGTTATTCAAAATATGAGGAAAGCCTATGAGCATTATCACTGCCCGAAAAAATTTAATACGTAATAGACTAAATCAGTTGCGTTTCTAATGAGGTTTCAAATAGTATTGTGGGTCGACTACGCACTGTAGTATTTTGAATTCTTATTTAAATATGTAGATAT